TCATTTTTGTCAATTTAATGAATGAGCAGCGAGAGGAGTGAATTATGAGTTCATGGTGACTTTTTTTCCTTGTTGATATTTTATTGGGTAATTTTCACTTTATTACTCTTAAGTTTACAGAGTTTTAGCCTTTAGTATATATGAAATTTGTTGGGCTTCTTAGATCTAGATCCAAAACGATTAGCTGTCATTGGGTCTAGTCTTCGCGTTTTTTGTTTTAGATGTAGGTCCTTTGACGTTTATTACTTTTTTGTTGTGTCGATTTTACCCTTTAAGGTAAATAAGAAAAACACATTGAAAATATAAATTTAATGCATTATTTCCTTGTAATTGAATTCCAAAATTTGAAATTTGAATTTTTTTCCTTGATAATATTCCTAATATATAGATAAAATACAATTTAATCAATAAAAAGTAAAGACTCACATATTATACCAATCGATCAGACAAGCACCCACATTAAATTATGTACCTGACATACAGGTAAATAATGTTAATACATATAGGTATATATGTACCTACCTTACAGGTAAGTGTTTTTTTCTTGAGTTTTCTTAAGCAGTTTTTTCTGGAGATTCATATTTATATACATATGTACATGTCTTCCATGTAATAGTGTTTTTTTTTTAAAAAAAAAAAATTCCAAAGAAATTTTGTATGAATATTTATCTCAGTTGAGTTTAAAGATCCATACCAAGATATTATATGAGTTCAATTAGCTGGGCTAGAGGGTAGAACTACCTAGACTATAGAGGTAATTTATGGATTTAATTACCTGAACCAGAGGTAATTTATGGGTTTAATTACCTGCATACTGCATACGAGGTGTATGCATAGGTACCTTACCTATTGTTAAGGTATGAAGTTTTTATGAACTCTGATTACAAATTTTGATGTCAGTATACCTTGGGAAAATTTCAGAATTCAATAAATAGATTTGCAATTAAATTCAAATCAACTATGATAATTAATATCCTACAAATCAATAACTTACCAGTTTTATGAATTCATAATTTACCTTATTTATGTTTTAGGTGCATAACTGGAACAAAAAATAATAAATAAATAAAAGTAAATATCAATAAATTGAAAAAGGCATGTAATCTTATGTGGCACAAAAGTCAAAGGACTTGAATCAACAACAATTTCTGCGTGGATTGCACCCAAAATCTCTCCTCATAATTGGACTTATGCCAAATTTTCTAAAAAAAATTTCATCTAAATTGCATACAAAAAGTTGATTTTCAGTCAACAAGTCTATTAACTGTTGATATGGCAATACATAGACCCACTCATATGGTGCTACATGGCCAACAATATTATTAATTAAATTGACTAAGGGGTTTACCTCAGTGGTGAGGTCCCTCCCCCTCCCCCCCTGGTCACCCTTCGAATCCCAGGAAAAGCCTGGAAAAGAGCCCCCCTCCCCAAATCGCTAATTTTCAAAAAAAAATATATTATTAATTAAATAAATAAATCAGAAAACATTATTAAATAAATAAACAATAATCTAGCACCCCCCCTCCCCTCACCGCCAAGCCGCTGCCCACCTCCACCCCAACCTCTTGTCGCCGCCTCACCCTCACCCTCTCCTTCGCGTCGGAGGCGATCTCAGAGAGAAACTAGTCGATTAATTTTCCGACGAGCATTCGGCGATCTGACGGCGCCGTCAGAATCGTCGTCTTCTTCGATTACGGTTGTGTTTTTCTGATTCAATCCGATTATAGTAGCTCGAGATGAGAAGGTCGTCTATGGTAGCTTAGTGGAGCTGCGAAGCCATCTTGTCTCCAACGCGTCTTTGCAGGCATCTGAGGCATTGAGTATGTTAGCTTAGATCTCCAGATCTTCAGCAGATCAGATCTCATCGAGTGCGGCAAGAATGCTATCATTCCCTGCAATTCCCACCTGCGACTTGAGGATCCTTGGCCCTGCCTTCTCCCATTCCTCCAGTTTATTTCTATTATCTGAATTAATTTGTATAGTTTGTTAATTATGTTCATTTGTTTCTGGGTTTTCCAAATTTTATCAAAGTTATGCTACAGTAGGTATCTTTTAGCATGTCTAAATATTGAGTTTGGGGAAGAAGGAGGGGGGCGGCTGGAGGGGTTTTTTGAAAAGTATTTTTAGGCTTTATCATTTATTTATTTAATACTATTTTATTATTTACTTAAGTTTTATTTTTGTTTTTCAAAAAGATTGATAAGTTTTTTTTAATACTTTTTTTTATATATATTATTTGTGGGCCCATCTATTTCCACATCAGCAGTTAACAGATTTGTTAATGGAAAGACTGACGACATTTATGAAAGTGGTATGAAGATCAACTCTCTGTATGCGACTGAGACGAAAAAAAATTTATGTGCTAAAAGCTGAAACTTAGTAAACTTCAGGGTAATAAAGTGAAAATTACCTTATTTTATTTATTTATTTATTTGCCAAAGTTAAGAAGAATGAGTTATCGAACCTAAGACTACTCATCTACAAATCAAGGTCCTTTTTCATTGGGACTGTTTGCGATTGTTGATATTTAAACTGATATTAATATTTCTGTATTTTTTAACCTCATATTGTTATTGTTGTATAATATTTGATACCTTGTGTCCAGGGCATACAGGGTGATATCAAAACAGATTTCAATGGGGTACTTTACCATGAGATGACACATTCATGGCAGTGGAATGGACAGGGTCAAGCTCCTGTTGGATTGATAGAAGGGATTGCAGACTTCGTGAGGTTGAAGGCGGATTATGTGCCCAATGGATGGGCAAAGCCGGGTGAAGGTCAAAGGTGGGATGAAGGTTATTCAGTGACTGCAAGGTTCCTGGACTATTGCAATGATCTTCAACAAGGGTTTGTGGCTGCACTGAACAAGAAGATGAGAGATGGCTACAGTGACAACTTCTTTCAGGAGCTGCTTGGGAAGACAGTTGATCAGCTGTGGACCGACTACAAAGCTAAATTTGCAAACTAATTAACCATGTGCACTAAAATAATTCGAACAAATAAGATGTGGTTTTTGTATCCACAGTTGGACTAAAATAAATTAGATAATAAAAAATCCAAATAATTTGTGAGAGTAAAATTATATTGTTGATGCATTAATATTGGAAAAGTTTTCATTATTTAGACAGCTGTTTTTTTATTAATGCTAAAATAACATGTACTTTTATTTTATCACATTATTTTCATATTGCTGACTTGCATATATATATATATTTGATGTTTAATTCCTCGATCACTCTCCATCAGCAGATGTAGATGTAATATCATGAACCTGGAATTTGGACTAGAATATACTTTAAAAAAAAGCTTTATGTGTGGTGGGTTTTAAATCTTTTGTTCATGGAGGGTTTTCTATTTGTTTTTTTTTTTTAGTACAAGCGATAGTTTAAATTACATGGGAGGGGTGGAGGTTTCTCAAACACATAACCAAGTTTTCATGAGAGTTGAAACCTAAGACCTCTATAGTCTGCAAATATAAGCTATTTTTTACTATGCTAGACCATGTTGGCTTATATTTGTTTTGTATATGAATAAATATTCTACGGAAAACAAAATTCGAATTAGGACTAGGCATAATAAAATAATTAAAATAGACTAAGGAATTTTGCGACCTAGATATGGTGGGAACGAGAGAAAGAGATGCTACATATGACCGTCAAGTTATCAAAATTATCAATAACCAGCTGGGTCAAGTCGGCAGAAAAAAAAAAAAAAAAAATTCCCGAGTCCAAGTCAAGGTCAATGATATAGCTGCCCCACATATTAAAGCCTTACCAAGTCAAGGTTAAAATCGAAGAAAAAATTTGTTTGGTCTCCATCCAACTCCATCATTATCATCAGACCCTAATTTTGTTTGATAGCCTCAATCCACCAGATTCAAGTGGGTATTTTTACTGAAATTGAAGGCTCAAGTGGGCAATTTCTCTGCCATGGAGGGGGTTTGTTTACTCTAAAAAATATAAAAATATAAAAATTATTATTAGTTATTTAATTTGGATTTTAAAGTTTTTTAATAGCTAAAATTATTAAAATTCCATGCCAGCACATTTAAGGTTTTGTGGATGAAAATAGACGAAAGTGGTAAAGTGAAACTTTCTGCAATTTTTAGAGATTCTAGAAGTTAAGTGAGAAAATTTCAGTTTTAATAGATAAAGTGAGACCAAGCTCCCGTTCCATAGGATAAAACAATAATTAAGCCTTTTCTTTTTTACTTGGAAAACTATTTTTCACTTAGAATCATCTTATGTATTTAAGATGATACAGTTAAAAATAATTTGGGGTCAAAATCTTATCAATATTTAGTCTTGCACCATGTAAACTCAACTAACATAAGTATTTGGATTTGGTCACATCAAACTCTTGTTAAAAGAAGAAACCAAAAAAGAGGCACATCTAGGGCCAACGGCTTCTCTGGTTTATTTGATCAAATGTCAAGTTGTAACTCTTGACATGAACACATGGAGCTCAACTTATTTCAGGAATTCGAAATTAAATCTCAAGGATAAAGTTTGTTGATCAACACATGCCCAAAACAAAACCGATAATTATTTTATTTTATATTCTAACAAGTATTTTGAGTAATTAAGGTTTTAAGACCTGAACATGACCACAAAAGAAATGTGACTCTGCAATCAGGCGCATAACTTGCAGGGCGCAGCATGAATGATCAAGCTGCAACAGAAACATTGCCGTCACCAATCGTGTATTTCCACCAACTAAATTGATGGATTATCAAAAGTCAGGAAAATAGTTGGTGTCTTTAATATTATGGGTAACAATAACTGAAATTACAAGTAAAAATTGTATTTTATGTGTGAACTTTGAACAACAAAATCGCTCAATCACCGAGAAATTTCCCACTTTTCGGGTTGAGTTCAAATCTCATGAATGAGAGTTTGTTTTATAGCATTATAGTTAGGCTCCTATATAAACCAAGAGCAAAATAGTACATTCTACAGAACCCAAAAGCCAAAAAAATCGTTTTACTTTCAAAAACTATGGTTCGCGTTATTTATTTCCTTTTCTTCATAACATTAGCAGCAGGCCTCGTCCATGGCGCCTTTGACATGGAATACTTTGTCAATGACGTCACCGTGGGAATCCATAACCAGGACCGTTTCGAAAAAGATATCGGAGTCAACTACTGCATGCTAACATTAATCTCCGCCACCGAGTTCATATGGGATTTGTTCCAGCAAAGCACTCCCGAGGATAGAAAGAGCGTGCACAATATCACCTTGACCATTGAAGACATGAAGGGAGAGGCTTATACAAATACAAGCAACAATGAGATCCACGTAAGTGCTGGGTACATTCTAAGCTACCCAGCAGCGGATGTGGAGGGACAGAGAAACGAAATGAACGGTGTGATTTACCATCAGTCAACACATGTATGGCAATGGGATGGGAATGGAAAGGCCCCGAGGGGTTTGGTTGAAGGAATTGCAGATTACGTGAGGATGAAGTCAAGGTTTATACCGAGTCAGTGGGCCCAGCCGGGAGTTGGGGATAGGTGGGACCAGGGCTATGATGTCACTGCTAGGTTTTTGGAGTATTTGGAGAGTTTGAGAAATGGGTTTGTGACAGAATTGAACAAGAAGATGAGGCTTGGTTATAGCGATGATTATTTTGTTCAGCTGCAGGGGAAGAATGTTGGTCAGCTTTGGACTGAGTACAAGCTCAGGTATGCAAAACGTTGAAAGGTGACCGATACTAGCCAGAAATTAGAGGCCTGCACACCTAATTAAGGGCTGATTTAAGTGAATAAAATGTTGTAATCTTAGTCCATTAGATAAATAAATTGTCCTGAATCTTTGTTTTCGTTTTTGTCTGCTTTTTATTGGTTTTTCTGTTTGTTTTTTTGCATTAGGTAATTCAAATGCAAAGTGACAAACGTCCTAACTAAACCAATTAACAACAAATGATGACTAGCTAGGCATAAATAATAGAAACTAACATGGACCATGTCGACTGGGAAGAAGGGAATAAAGAAAGTTTGAGTGGTTAAGAATAGGAGAAGAGGGAATTTAAAAACAGATGAGACAAACAAAAACTCTCTCTCTCTCTCTCTCTCTCTCTCTCTCTCTCTCTCTCTCTCTCTCTCTCTCTATATATATATATAAACCAAAGCTTAACTTAATCTCACAAATATGGCGCATATTTTCTTCCTTTCCTTCCTCCTAACACTAGCAACTGCCCTTCATGGTACCCATTCAGTCGACTACGTCGTCACCAACAAGGCCGGAGCAAGCCCGGGAGGGGTCCGCTTCAACACCGACATCGGAGCCAAGTACAGCAGGCAAACCCTAATCTGTTCCACTGGTTTCATCTGGAGGGTGTTCCAGCAAAACACAGCCGCTGATAGAAAGACTGTACAAAAGGTCACTTTGATAATTGATAACATAACCGGGGTTGCATATGCTAGCAACAATGAAATCCACGTCAGCGCTGGCTACATAGCTGGTTACTCAGGCGATGTGAAGAGAGAGATCAGCGGTGTGCTTTATCATGAGTCAACGCACGTGTGGCAGTGGAATGGGAATGGTCAAGCTCCTGGGGGTTTGATTGAAGGAATTGCTGATTACGTGAGGCTGAAGGCAGGGTTTGTGCCAAGCCATTGGGTTCAGCCAGGGCAAGGGAATAGGTGGGACCAGGGCTATGATGTTACTGCTAGGTTTTTGGACTATTTGAATGGTCGGAGAAGTGGGTTTGTGGCAGAACTCAATAAGAAATTGAGGAGTGGTTATAGTGCTAAGTATTTTGTTGATTTGCTGGGGAAGAATGTTGATCAGCTTTGGAGTGATTACAAGGCCAAGTACGCACAAAATTAAAAGCTGGTCTAGCTTATTTAAGTGAATAAAATGTTGTACGAGTCTATTAGAGAAATAAATTGTCTCGATTAAAATATCATTTCACTTTGATGTGTATGTTATCAGACTATTAAATTTTTGTCATGATAAGAATCCGTATAATCAACAATTCATAAAATGATGATAACATAACGTGCCGAAAACTGTCTAACAAGAAAACTGTCTAACAAAAAAACATTACTCTTCTTGACATTATTCTTACTTAGAATCTTATTAGCCAATTTATGGGATTCTGCTGGTTGATTATCTCAGAACCTGGGATACTTAGCCACAAGGCTTATATGCTTGAGCCAAAGAATTTTGGATAAGTTTCCATAGACTATATTAAATTATAATCAAGTTTCAATAGACATTTGCCGTTGGACATTCGTTATTTTCCACCAACGAAAAACTGAACGGTTCCAGGATGACATGAACTTTCATTGGGCCTCAATTTTTTCCACCACAAATGAATGAACAAATCCATTTCAAATATCACATATCTGCATTAGGTCTTGCAAAAAGTTACTTCTTGTCATCACACTACTAGCAATAATAATAATTAAGCCTGCAACTAAGTCCAAAAAAAAAAAAAAAAAAACTCACTAGGAAGAAGCCTTATCACTTCATCATATTATGAGTGGAATAATATTCCCACCAGATACGCACTTATATTATCTCTACCATAAAATCTACATGTACTTATGGCTAAACTTAAGTCATCATTATTTCAGAGTCTAGAAAGAAAAAAAATCCATTTATAATTATAAGGGTTAAATAACTTTTTGGTCACTGGGTGTTGCACGAAAATTCAATTTGGTCACTGAGAAAAAAATTTAGCCAAATTAATCACTGTGTTTCCCAAAGTACAATTTATAGACATTTCATTAACGGTGTAGTTATTATTTTTATTTTTTTACGAAGCACGTTCAATCTTCTTCATCTACCTCAACAAGTAAGGGTATATTGTGTTATTAGGGTTTAACGAATTGGGGAAAATCTTGGGTTGAAATTGGAATTGTGAGGAAAACAAATAAAAATAAAAACTGCACTTAATTGAAGATAAAGGAATATCTATAAATTGTAAACTTAGGAAAACACGGTGATCAATTTGACTAAATTTTTTTGTCAGTGACCAAATACCCTAATTATAATACATAACTCAAGTCATCATTTCACATGGACAATAAGAACTCACTCAAAGCACACAAGTGGGGTATATATATTATATAAAATAACCAGAAGAGCCATGTTTTTATTTGATACGATCATGGCCATTTATAGGATTGAGTTACAAGGGTTTAGAGTATTATCCCAGAGTTGGGCCTAACTGCCACAACCTATTTCAGTAATATCTTAAGACTCCTCTCCTTGACAATACAATAACCTCCATGTGTTTGCTATCATCAGCGGTAGGGATGACATATTAATAGGGAGTTTTAATTACAATTATGGCAGTTAATGAAATGCTTGGAATAAATTATAAATAAAATATGAAGTCTGATGGCAAGGATGTAAAAACATAGGAATACTATGACCTATTATATCTTAAGTTTGAAATTGGGTTTTAAACATAGATTTATAGAATGATGGGTATATGTCTAGGAAATAGAAATTGTAGGGACCTATATCAGACTAGCCCTAAAAAATAATGAGAAAAAAAGAAAAGAGTTCGAAACTATTGTATACTAAGGCACCAACGGTTGATTCAACATGTGCCACACTTGTTAAGGAGAGTTTAAAGATCATTGTGATGAAATTATGACAAATTACAGAGTTTAAAGCATATTATTCAGGACAAATGGCCATTGCATGCAACATAGGATTGGTAACGGGGGTTCTAGTTAAAGGATCAAAATTCATGGGGTTCTACATGGTTGGTAATTTTCTATTGCATTAAATATTGGGATGACTTGACCCATTGGCAGGTTCTAGATCGGATCGCCGGTTCACTGAGCTGCGCTGAAGTTTCAAAGTGTCGGTGGGCTGCAAGCCTTTGATGAGGCTGACTTTTTGGCTCTGATCACCCTTGGGTCAACTATGTCATGAATCATGATCCAATCTAGATGAAAGATAATGACGATTCTCCAAAGTTACCAAGGCTTGATCCATTATTGCTTTTTACGAGCCGGTTTCATTGACCAAGACTTTCCTTGTAGCGAAATTAATCAGTCAACTTGGGCAAGTTATTAGGCCCGTTTGATAATCGTTTCAATTTTAGTTTTTAGTTTTTATTTTTTGTAATAGAGTATACAGGAAAATGAGGGTAAGAGTGGGAGTGAGGATGAGGGGGAGAATAGGAGGGAGGAGTAACACAATTGAAAACAAAAACTTGAAAGTGAAAACAATTTCAAATAGAATTCAGTTTTTGTTTTTGTTTTCACTTTTGTTACTATTCCCTCTCATTCTCTCCTCTTATCTCCCCTTTTAATCACATCTCCACTCTCATTCTCACTTTCATGCTCCCTCTTTTCCCTTTATAATCTCTCACAAAATATGAAAACTAAAAACTAAAATTAAAATAGTTATCAAACGGAGCCTTAATTAGTTATTGCAGTAAATGGAAAGCAATGCTTTATGGGCGAAATTTCATCTTCTGAATCTCCTGTTATTATTTTGAGACGTTCCGTAGTGGCTCGTGGTTTTTTTTTAAAATTTTGTGGTCCTCTTGTTATGGGTTTTGCTTTGTGTGTTATTCCAAATACAAACTGACAAACGTCCTAACTAAACCAATATTTAACTAGCTAGGCATAATATGAAATCACATCACCATGACCATCAACATTACCTATAATGAACCAGCTGGGTTTCAATTCTAGCCGGCAGAAAAGCCCGGGTCCAAGTCAAGGTCAATGATCTATAGCTGTCCATATTTTTAGGTGTAGTCATAAGTACTTTCAGATAACATATAGCAGGTGCAATAAGGATACGTGGAGAGAGCAGGGTCTCCCGCTTTTTCTTCTCACTAAGGATAATAATCAGGATCATTAAACTTTTCACACTGACATATGATGTTATTAAGTCATATGTTATAATATGAGTAGATGACTTAATAGATATTTCGTGAACATAAAGTATATTCGTGTTATAACATTAATGAATATATAGTTATTCTCTTATTCTGATGTCTGCACATCATGTTATTATTATGCATATGCCATTATAAATAAGGAGGAAAGTATGGAGGGGTAGTATAAAATACATGATATTTGCACCATCATAACCTCCGAATATCCGCATAGAAGAATTTATAGATATATGAAAATAAATGTTAAAAAAATGGTGTAGTTGTTAAGAATAAGATAAATTAAAGAAATTAAAGATGAGAAAAATCAAAAGTTAACTTGATCTTTATATTATCTAGAAGACTCACCCCAAGTGAAAAAATAATAATTGTTGACCTTGAAATACTACACATTACTCTCTATATAAACCATAGAGCAAAATCACATAATTTGTACAACCCAAAACCAAATAACCATGGCTCACCCTATCTGTTTCCTCTCCTTGCTCCTAATACTAGCCGCAGCGCCCCTTCGTGGCACCCATGCAGTCGACTACGTCGTCACCAACAACGCGGGAACAAGCCCCGGCGGCGTCCGCTTCAACAACGACATCGGAGCTGAGTACAGCAGGCAAACTCTGATCTCCGCCGCCGACTTCATCTGGAGGGTATTCCAGCAAAACACAGCCGCAGATAGGAAGAGCGTGGACAAAGTCAGCTTGATCGTTGAAAACATGGACGGCGTCGCATTTGCTAGTAACAATGAGATCCACGTCAGCGCCGGCTACATAGCTGGCTACTCAGGCGATGTGAAGAAGGAGATCACCGGTGTGCTTTATCACGAGTCAACGCACGTGTGGCAATGGAATGGGAACGGTCAAGCCCCAGGGGGTTTGATTGAAGGCATTGCTGATTACGTGAGGCTCAAGGCAGGGTTTGTGCCAGGTCATTGGGTTCAGCCAGGTCAGGGGAACAAGTGGGACCAGGGGTATGATGTCACTGCTAGGTTTTTGGACTATTTGAATGGCCTGAGAAATGGGTTTGTGGCAGAATTGAATAAGAAATTGAGGAGTGGTTATAGTCCTAATTATTTTGTTGATTTGCTGGGGAAGAACGTTGATCAGCTCTGGACCGAGTACAAGGCCAAGTATGGAAACTAGATAACATTAAGGGCGTGCAGGCCAAGGGCTGATTTAAGTGAATAAAATGTTGTATTATTAATAAATAAATTGTCTTAATAAGAATGTACGTGTGTATGTGCACAATTTATATATTGTCAAATTATCAATTTAAACTACGTACAAAATTAAATAAGAATCGGCTTAATTGACGATTCATAATCTGATAATATAACATGTCAAATTATCTAAAAGTCAGGCTAAGACATAATATTGAGCTAGAGAATTTTGGGTATTTGGCCTTAACTATACTCTAATCAATTTGCAGTTCTCGGCACTAAAGTATAAGCTAGTAGATTAACAACTAACTAGCATGTATGTATATGGATTTGGTTCTTGGTAATCTGCCTTCAAAATGTAGTTTCAATGGTCAAAATCTCAAGTCATCAGAATGACAAAATTTGTCAAAGCCCTCTTGTCTCCGGCAAAGAACTTGTCTGGTTATATTTGTCTTTTGCTGATCATAACTTATCTCAGACCGACGGTCCAAAAATACTATTGGAGCTAGCTTTATCTCTTCAGAATATTATCTGCATTAGATCTCGCAAAGCTAATTTTTAATTTTATTTGAAGTGCAGTAAATTTCCTAATTATAATAATAATAATAACCTATTGCATTGCACAAAACAGTTGGGAATTAAGATATGCTACTGTTCTACTATGCTTATAATAATCCCTTGCCCGGGACCATTTAAGAAAGTTTGAGATGTCTATTATGCTCTACAAGAATTGTAAGAGACTACAATGACAATTCAACCAATTTCTACCCTTTCCCTCAGGGAATTAATGCAAAAGGACGAAAAATTATTGAAAGGAAGAAAAAAAAACCCTTAAATGGTCCCGGGCGCTTGAAAGAAAAAAACTCCTTTCCTAAACCCACTTGGACGCTTGAAAGAAAAAAAAAACCCTGTCCTAACGCTTGAAAGAAAAATTTCCACACTATCTTCCAATACATAATGCTCATCCTTTACCAATGTGGGACAAAATCTTTTTGTGTATTGAAGGATTTTTGGGCTTGATTGTAATTTATCAGAAAAACTTGTATGAAACGGGATAGTATTGTTTGTTATCCCCAATAAATCATGGATTGTCATGTGAAAAAATTGTCACGTATGGCATGTCGCGATTGATCAGAGATAGCAAAACAATGCTATTCCCACAAGTGTTTCTCTTAATTTGCAGGTCCATCTCCCTCTGCCCAAGTCTCACCACAAGACTAGTAGACGACATTGCTCTCCTCCTGCTAGCATAAGTGATGACATTGGCCTTCTGACGTGGGACACTGACGTGCCGTAAGCCCATGGACAAAAAATGTTTGGCTCCTTATATTATACACAAGTTGATGAAAATTGTGATCTAGTTCTTCTAGTTTCTGTTGATGGATGGCGATCTATTACTTGTGAAGGCTGGTCTTTTGACACCTTCAACTTTGACGGTTTACATATCATCAACAAAATTCTCGCTTTTAAAATTGCAAGTGCGTAATTTTAAAAGATAGAATTTACATATCATCGCTTTATCAGATGGCAGATATATACCCACTTATCAATTCAATACCATAAAATGTACATATACGCAGGCTTAAATCAAGTCATCATTTCATAGTATGCTCTATCTTCTCCACCACCAATCCAAAAAGAAAAAAAGAAGAAAAAAACCCTTTTTAAGGGAAAAGAAAACCCATGTAGCTGAAAGAGACGGAGGAAGAGAAGTTGAGAAGGGCTGGAGATTTGGATCACATAGTTTGGGAACAGATAAGCATTAACAGAATCACAGGCCAGAGACTCAAAAGCACATATTATATAAAAAGACCTGAAAGAGCCATGTCCTTTATTTGATATGGTCATGGTCAGGGCCAGAGCAAAAGGTACAAGCAGCACACAGCCACACCAAAAATCTGTATATTTTTCTTTTTAGAAGACTCCTATTTCAAACATAAACCCTCATTACTCATTAGTTATTACTGGACTTGTTGAATGGCTGAAATAACTTCAGCAATGCCCTGAAACTTTCTCCTCTCCTTAAGAAGCAACTTTGCTACCTCAAGAGCCCGACGCTCACAACCTGCCCGTTTGCTAGCATTGGCGATTGATTCAAAATCTTCAACATGTGCAACACCAACGATTCTCCTGTCAAAAGAACAAATTAAAAGCATTATTACAGAAATCAAATCCATAGTTTCTTGATTGGTAATTTCAACAACGAATTTAAAGACCACAAAGAATCGAACAAATCCCACATGAGCTAAGTATGAAACAGAATGTGCATTATATATATATATATATATACCCATAAAAATATATATGTATTCATATTAATGAATTTACATATTTATATGCAGATTTCCAATTGCCATTGAGTACACTGACTGCATGGAAAATCAGTGAGACCGCATAAAACACATCTGTGTGTGTGGTATTTGTTCCAGTAACCCATCCTTCAACTTGAAATATTTATTTTGAGCTCGAGTTTTTCTGGTCCAAGTTTCTCGTCTACAAGGGTGGTATTTGCTCAACATTCAACTGAGAAAGAAAAAGAAAAAGAGTCTTGGTGGCAAACACATACTATTATATCATAATTAATCCATCTCATGTCTTCCCAGGTCTAGAAGCTGCCCTCTTTGGTATTAAAATGAACTTGTAAGTTACCAAATGACTTGAACAACGGATAAATAGAGATATTTATTAAACTATGATAATGAATTATTCAACATTCTGGGAAGCCAAATTGGTAAACACAAGGCAAAGACAACATATACTAGAAATAAAGAAATCTGTAGTCTGCTGTCTCACCTTATCATTTTCGCAGCACCAAAACCAAGGGAGTCATGAAGCAGATCTTTAATAAATTTCTTTTGCACAAGCTGTAGAAGCCCAGGGTTGTTATAAATCGCAGGAAGATATGCGTCACCAGAATCCTTGTTTGTATCCCATAGTGCAACGAATTTTCTGTCGAAAAGGTTCCAAGTGTTTTCAATTGTTCTCAAAATCCAATCCTTGTATGCCTGCATCATAAAGCGAATTTCATACAAGACCCTCAGACCCACACCATACATAAGCAATGCCAAATAATAAGTCAAACTATGAATTATTTGCCCAACAACCCTCAGGTTTAACATGTTTTCGAAATGGACCTTACACATTCAGAAATTATACTAGAACTAGATGAAGTTTGTTTCAGTTGCACAAACACCCCCGCTATCAGTCCGTCAAAAGCCTAGCACTTGCATCAGCATGAAAAAAATTTAAAATACCAAAATTGAAACAGCAACAATAACCAAAATAGTATCGAAACACCCACACACAAAGTATTTTTAAATTTTTTTAAAAAGAGCACTTGTATATTCCAGACACAGCAATGTTCTTCCTCTCACAATTGAAGCTAAAGAAATTTCAAATCCACCATCAAACTGTGAAGGACCAACTCTGTGTCTATGCCATCCATTCAAATCTTAATCTTCAAAGCTGTATCAACGAAGTGGATTGGTGTATTTCTGGGTATCAAAAGAAAAAATCTAATTCCAACTACCAAGCACATCACTATTGAATATTGATACATGATCACAATTTCTGCAGACTATATTTTGATAACTGAATTGGGATAACCTTGTCAAAGTGTTATCCTTTCATTATAATTTAAAACGTTTCTAAACACTGTACAGAGAAAAAAAAAGTTTCTAAACAATTGCCAAAAGAATCAAGTTTTTAACTTTATTAATATTGTCTGTTCTTCACCATGAACACTGACAAGCCCACATCTGATTTCACTAAAGAAATTAAGACAGATGCTTACATGCTACAAGATTAAATGGATGGTTACTGTATTCCATGGTTAGAACTCAAATAGGAAAAACTACTCACGAGCATGAACGACGATGAAATTATTAGGGAAATCTTGAAGATCAACTTGATCAAATTGCTAAGACGTTTAGCAAGGTCTTGAAAGATGACATAGGGGAGCAATAACCATTTTTTTTTTCTTTTCCAGAACCAAATATTTAACAACAATTTAGATAAATATAGTATCTAATTATCTATCTAACAATATAGTATGTCTGACCAAAACAAATTATCTAAGAATAGCTTTAACAGATTCAAAAGACAGATACCACATTGAAAACGAAATCACGTAATAAGAACCGAAATACTTGAAAATAATTCATCAAGAAGAAAATAATAGTAGAAAACATGTGAAGGACAATGGAATAGAGCTTACTTTTCGATCATTCTGCTCATCAGCATGCCCATCTTGTGCAAAGAAAGCCAAAATCAAGTTACCCAGAAAAGCGCCAATATCAAAACCCATTGGTCCATAAAATGCAAATTCTGGATCTATAACTTGAGTTGAATCATGAGTCACCATTACAGAACCAGTGTGAAGATCTCCATGTATTAGGGCTTGGGCTCTCTCACAGAACCTACAGAAAAAGGCAACTTGACCATTCAGATGACAATTTAAAATGATACAATCACATAGAGACTAATCTGCTACTAAGATCAGATAGTTTCATTACAAAGATTTCAACTCAGCAACTTCAAGCTTCAAAGCATTATCCTCCCGTATAGCCTCAGCATCAGAATCAAGATAAGGAGAAGTCCAGTGGTTATATTGAGATATTTTGTATGGATCAGAAAAAACAACCTGCTCAGTAAGCCTGCATAACTCCACATTGCCACAAAATTCAGCAACTGCAGAAAGTAAACATGCAGATTAGTTAATGACAGATATAAAATCTAGACAAATATATTCTTCACCAGTATTAAAAAGAAGACTAAAGTTGAGGCTGAGTTTCTTTTACTCTTTCTTTTTTCTCTTTTAGATAGGAAACATAAACTTTTTCAGTAAAAAGAAATATGGTTACCAAAAAAAAAAAGGATAAGAAGTCCATTTCAAAACAAGCATTTAGCAGCTGTATGGTACGAAGAGAATTAAGTTACAATCCACTAAAAACTCCCGCCAAATCTAAATGAATTATACTGGAAGGAATGTCCCTAAACAATGATGCCTAAAGAGAGGCTAGGTATATGACTCTGTCTTGAATAAAATCCTCCTCTTCCACCTTGTCATTAAATAATCTTTTATCTCTTTCACCCCACACAAGCAAAATAGAAAACAAAAACTGCACCACTCACTAATTATATTCTTCTTGGCCCCAGCAAGGAGAAACTCCCCAGCCAACAGAACAAGTTTCTAGCTCAACCCAAACCCAATCCGAAAATGCAAAGAACTTCAAATTCTCAACGTGAAAGAACAAGATAAAAAGATATTATCAGCACTCTTGTCCCTATCTTTGCCAAAAATACACCAAGTATTAGTGTATCTATTACATGTACCACCAATGGTATTAAATTTTGAACTTTAGTAGGTACACAGGTTTTCAAATTCTAACGTCTCATGTTGTGGAGTGAAAGACGGTTTGAACACATGCCTTCCTTTTACAATCCCATGCGGGAACAGGACCCAGTTCATCTTTTGGGATGGTATACATCCTACAGAGGCAACAAATGTTTTTATAGCAGCAAGAGCATACAAAGCTAAGTTTCTTACTGATGCTTTTCCCTACGATATCAACCACTTAGCTCAACTATCCTAATTGCGCGTTCCATATTCATATCAACCACTTAGTGTATCTATTACATGTACCACCAACGGTGTAAAATTTTGAATTTTAGTAGGTGCACTTTTCAAAATTATCTTATAAAGTTCAAAAACTGGGTAAATTGAATCCTCTAACATAGAATGGAAAAAAGTACATGAAAAGACCCCAGAATCATGGAGTTTTTTCAAATGGGAACTGAATTCAACAAGATATTATCAATAAGACACTGATTCTAAAATGCTCACCCAATCAAGACCAAGACAAATATTCAGTCATATTTCACATAGCAATGTATGATTCACAACTTCACATACATTCCACCTAAAGCATCTCAAGATCATGCATTCTATCTCCAACATGTTATGAGAGAACAAATAAAGCACACGATCAATATGTGAAAACAGAACATAATCAATTAAAAGAATACATCACATACCAGCTCGTTTGTGGTCCGTGGTATTACGATAAAGGAGGGATGTGAAGAACAGAGTCCTTGCAATATAGTCCGACATGTGGTCCGCCAGCAAGGGGTACTCAATTCCAGCAATCAATCCTTTTCTCAGTATGATATGTGGAGGCTCCAAATAGCGCATGCCAATCAAAGACATGGTCCGATCAAAATGATAAACTTCAGGGACATGATCAGGACTTAAACCACCATGCTCTCTCAGTGCCAATGCCTCAAAATATGCTCTTTCCTTTGTCATTGGCCATGACTCCCCAATACAACGAATATATGGAAGAGCCTGCAAAAACCCAGCAGCATATTTCGTCAGGGGACAAGAAAAGCTTACTGATTTTAATTTTCTCCAATCAAAGTCAAATCTTGGAACCCAAGTTGAACATTTTAGAGTTGGGTCCAGAAATATTTGATCAAATACCACAAACCCATTACTACCCAAATGTTGAAAAATCATTAACTGCTTAGAACCCAAGTTGAACATTTTGGAGTTGGATCCAATTAAATTTGATCAAATACCAACAATCCATTACTACCCAAAAGGTGAAAAACCATTACTTGCTTGATGACGAAAGAACCAGTGGAGCCAACGACGATGAAGACGAAATTGAGGTTGCCATCACCCACTTCTTTGATTGTTATGTTGTCAAGCTTGTTGTTGAGCTTAGAAGAGAGAGAAGGTGTGGCCTTTATGTATTCTATGAGGACCTTCTCGTCCAGTGGGCGAAACTCAGAGAAGGCCATGGTGTGGTGGCGGCGATGAAGGGGAGGGGTGAGAAAGTTAAGAGTTCAGAGGTTGAACTGAGAAGATAAAGGTCTGAATAACGATAACGTTGGAATTGGAATCTTTGGATGGTGAAAGTTGTGGACTTTTTTATCCGACGAAATAGAAAAATGGAGACTTTTGGTTGATTGGTGCAAATGCAATGAATCTGGTCTGGTTCTGGCTTTTCTCATTGGCCAAGTGATATTGGCCCTGTGGCATGGATGGCACCGGATTCTCCAATTCAGGAAAAACTGAAACACAAATAAGGATGCTCAAACTTGCCAATAAAATAAAAACCTGACTCCCAACAAAACCTGCTTTATCTCAATTCTCTAACCTTATATATATAAACTATTGTAACGTTTGACCAACTAGATTTATTGTTTGCATTATTAAATGTTGGAATGCCCTTCAAGAATAAAATTTTAAAAAAAAATTTCTCACACTCGAAATAAGACATTGTAAATTGTAATAGTCTATACACTCATTTATTTAGTTATTCACACAGTCGTAAGAAGCCATTATAATAGTTTTTTTTAAAATATAAATTTTAGGATTGCATTTATAATTGAATAAAAAAAGAGTTATAAATGGCAATTATAATAATGAAGCGATTTAATATCAAAATTAAGATAATATGAGGCTCCTCCATTAACGATCATGCATGATTGAAGAAATTCTAGCATAGGCATCCCAATTAAGAATGTAAACTCAGAAAAACTAAAAATAGATAAAGTTTGAAAAAACTAAGTCATAACAATACAAATAAAACTCTAACAAATGAAATGTGAAAACTACACAGAAAATCCAAAGAGTCTATGCGACTTATTTTAAATATGAAGAACCCGCAGAAAGGATGGCGGTAGAGATCCGACACTGAAATGTAGGTGGAGATCCGATGTCGAGACGCATCCGTTTGTGATGAGTGGAGGAAAATCATTACAAAACAAAGATAAATAAGGGAAACATTTTATCTCTTAAAATGGGGGAAAAGAGGAGAAGGGAGAAATGGAGGGGAGAAGGGAGGAAGAACAGTGGCTTCCTCCCCCCTCAAAGTGAAAATGGCTGTAGAGTGTGCCATATTATAATAGTTTATGCACTCATTTATTTAGTTAATATAAAATAAATGCATGATATATATTTTTTTTTTGAAAATTAGCAATTGCATGATAACTTTTTTAGAGTGAATAAGTGGTTCTAAAAACACTATGGAGAGTTCTCATTTGTATAATCAATTTCTAAGGATAAATTTTATTGTCAATGGGTCTAGCCTAGTGGAAAAGGGCATTGACTTGTAGATTAGTATTCTTAGGTTCGAACTCTCATGGCACATTAGTAGTGTGTGTGAGATATCCTCCCCCTTGTAGTTTAGACTATCGTTTGTATTTAAAAATAATTAAAAAAAATAAATTTTCTTCTTATTTGTTTCTTTTTCCCGAAAATATTCTAATTTTGTTTGTTTATACAAGTGATATTGTGAGACGAGACTTGAACATAGGACTTCGAGTGCATAAGTAATTGTTTTTTAACCACTTGAGATCCGAGCTTCTTGCAAAATATTCCTTTTTTATTTGTTCGGTAGTGAAAGAGTGTAATTTGTAAAGGGGATTTGCCGGATCCAGCCCAACTTAGAAATTCAAGTTTGAATTTTTGAGTTTCAGTTAGGTCCAGTCCATTATACACCTTGTTTAAAGTCCAATATCCATGGATAGGTGATTACGAGACCAACCCAAACCCGTTAGCATCCGGGTCAATTTGACCGCCCAGTGGGTAGTTGGCTGTACGTATCACTCCATCAAAGCGCGTGTAAACCACACACCTCGAATCCAATCGAAAACAGGATATGAACGCCATGCAACCCTGTTCCGATCATTCCCTTCCTGCTCACTCAATCAACCACTGACCGACAGAAATGACGAGGCCTGTGGCAGTGGTGGTGGTGGTGGTGGCAGCTTTCCTGGCCGGTCTCTTGACCTCTGAAATCGCAGCAGAAATCGCCCAAAACTCGGCCGATTTTTACAATCTCGGCCGCCGTCGTTTGCCGCAGCAGTCTCTCTGTTTGGAGCTCATTGAGCCTTCGGGGTACTCTTGCTCCGAGCACAAAGTGAGTATTACTTCACTACAAAATTGCCCATTTTCATATTTGATTGTTAAATTTGAGATAAAGTGAGTAGCTTTGAGATACCCAGAAACCCAGATGCTCAAAGTTCGTTGTTTCTTGGTTTTTTTTCTTCTGCAGATTCAAACGAAAGATGGCTACTTATTGGGTCTTCAACGCGTGTCGTCTCGAAGTGGGGATTTGAGAACCCAGCTGGGTCCTCCGGTGCTGCTTCAACATGGACTCTTCATGGTGAAGTTTGAATTTTCATCACTAAACTTTAACAAATGCAAAATAAGACGTTGAATTTACACTTGCAATTACTTTGGGAGTATGCTTTGTGAGCCTGTGACCTGTTATATTTGAAATTTGAAACAATCACTTGCAGCTTTAAAGTTATAGCACTGCTCTTGGATGAATAAAGCAAATGATTTTATGCTATGATTCCTAATTGTTAAAGAGGCTTTAGAAAATGTAGAAAAAACAGATGATTTTAGGCTGCATCTGTTCGACTGTTTAACTGAATTAATCAAAGTCTTTTTTCATTATTGTGTTGTCTTTGGGGTTTGAGGGTTCAAGAGCTGATGAGATTGCTTTGGTGGGGGATTTTATTTTCCCTATAGCTGAAGAACTCAAACAAATGCACACCTCTAATGACCATGAGTAGTACTGATGTATGGAATCTGCATACTAATTGGTGAGAAGCCTAAGTAGAATAGCTCCTTCCAATCTTTTTAGCAGGCTCTAGAAATGTTGTAATGCCATGTTAAATGTATGATATTGGAATTTGACTGTTTAATTCAGACTTTTTGTTGTCCGTGGTCTGAAGTTTAGTTTTCAATTTTTTATATTTTATATTTTATATTTCTTTCATGAAAAGAACATATGTGGTAAAGCGTTGAACACAAGTGAGATGAATTTTGATTAGGCTATAGTGTACTTGAAATTCAATTGCACTTAGTTAATTTTGCTTGATCTTATGCTACCCAGTTTTGAATTTCAAACAGGCAGGCGATGCATGGTTTTTAAATTCTCCAGAAGAATCAATGGGCTTTGTCCTTGCAGATCAAGGTTTTGATGTATGGGTAGGAAATGTGCGTGGAACACGTTGGAGTCATGGACACGTATCTTTATCAGAAGATGATAAGGTCTATATAGCATACACATTTTTCTGTCTTGCAGTTATAATGTCATTTATTTCATTCAATGATAAGATGTGGTTCCAGTAATTTATGCGTATTAGTTGTATGTGGAAAGTTTGGATTGTCCCCGTGATTGTTCTGTCAATGAAAAATCTGGGATAATTTACAGGGATGTGTATATAACGCGTACTGAGAATCACATATGAATAAGCCCCTTTGCTCTTCCTGCCTCAATATTTCATGGTTGAGCGATGACAATAATGAATTGGATAGAGGGAACAGATAAACCAGATTTAAAAAGGAATACACTTATGGATAGGCTCCTCCCTTTTCAGAGATATCAGTATGTACCTGATTTCCTTGATAAAAGACTTGTTTCACTATTTAGGTTTTTTTAATTTCTAGAACGTTTGTGCTAATTTATACACTCAACATGACTTCATGTTGGTTATTGGCAATCTGAGCCGGTTTTGAAGTTAGTGGACAAAGGGAACGATCATATACATTACATCCTTTTTTTTTTGGTCTTAACGGAATGATCATATTTGAAGTCCTTAATGCTTAATTTGCTTATCTGTAATCTGAAGATACTTGGTTAACGCTTTGTTGCAGAATTTTTGGGATTGGAGTTGGCAGGAATTGGCTGAATATGATCTGGCAGAAATGATACACCACATATATTTGATAACAAACTCCAAAGTCTTTATTGTTGGACATTCACAGGTCTTACACCTCTTCATCTACTCCTCACCTGCCTTTCTGCTCCTTGTTTTAGTGTGAACTTAATTTGTTCATGTTATTAGGGAACAATCATGTCTTTAGCTGCTCTCACCCAGCTGGATATAGCAGAAATGGTTGAAGCTGCCGCTCTTTTCTGTCCAATATCGTACTTGGAACATATCACTGCTAAATTTGTACTTAGAATGGTTAATATGCATCTTGATCAGGTATTCCTGATCTGCTTCGAGCTAAATTGTATGAATGGATCCTGGGGATAAATTTGATGCATATGTTCATTTTTTTCAGATGATTCTTGCTATGGGCATCCATGAACTTAACTTTAGAAGGTTTTGCTTTATCTTGTCCACCTTTTTTTCCCTAGTTTTCTTTTTGCTCAAATGTTATGAGGTTTCATTAGTACTAATCTTGTTATCATCTGTACATTATATGTAGTGATTGGGGAGTCAACCTTTTGGATTCAATATGTGATGGCCATGTTGACTGCAATGACTTGCTAACTTCCGTAACAGGTTCTATTTGATCTATATACTACTTATCTCCCCCTCCCCTCCCCCTTCCTCTCCCTCCCTCC